CAATGCAGCAGTTCCTTTGATTTGACGAAATCTGGCAATTCTTCATGGGCCAGAATGCATTGCTGCAGGTCCTGGGCAGGTAGCAGGATGTAGCTGTCCTTAGGACAGGTTGGGTCTGGCTGGGTCGGCACCGGCGAGGAGAAGCAGCAGCTGAATTGCGTGCCACTCAGGACCGGCTAAGCTGCTCCCTAGTGTTGACATGGCCAGGCCTGTCCCGTCCTGAGCAGTACATGGCTGAAGCCAGCCCAGCTGGGTCTTTCCCTCTCTGGTGCCAGCCTGGCTGGGATGGGCAGGTAGGGGGAAGGCAAGGCTTTGCCACATGCTGCTCAGGCTGGTCCTGAGTAGCACATGGCTCAGCCACTGCTTCTTGCCTGGCACGTCCAGTCCCAAGCAGCACGTGGCAAAGCAGCACATGGCCGAAGCTGGCCCAACTACGGCTTTCTATCCCTGGTATTGGCCCTACCCAGCCTGAGTGACATGCAGCGAAGCCCGCCCATCCACTGCTTTCCCTTATCTACACATCGGGATCCTCTCCAGTTAAAAGCTGGCCAGAAGCCACCTCAGGCACCCCTTCCCCTCACTAGTGCCACAAGATCTGGCACAGCCCCTCTGGCCCCTCTCAAGCTGCAGACCTGGCCTGAGCTAGGGGTGGGGCGAAGCCAGCAAGGTGCCTGCAGCCGGTGGATTGTGCCACTGGAGGCTTTCAGGCAGGCAGCCACCATTACCTGGGTTTTGAAGGGGCTCCATGGGCTGGATGGAAGCATCTGGTGGGTTGAATGTGTCCTGCGGGTGTATTTTGCCTACCCCTGGGTTAGATGGTATTATTCGCAACCTAAGGCCATGAATTATGTTGCTGTCAGTGGCTTATGGCCAGTTTCAAGTGTTTTTTTTTTCCCTGAATTTAGTGCAAATATATTTAAAATCTAATCTCGCTCCTTGGTTCTCTCTGCAGCTTTCATTGCATATAGTGGGTGTCACAAAAATATATATCCTCTTTAGTTATCTGGAGTACACAAGCCCTTGTTCCATCTGCTGATTTTAGTTCTGCTGCTTATTATCTCACAGAGCCCCAAGGAAGGGTACTATAGTAACTGAAAGCTTGTTGTTCTTCCTGCCAACTATGTAGTTGGTGCAGTCCTTTTCTCTCTCTCTTTTCCTGGGCCATCATGGCTAGCCCATCACTCTAACCCTACCTGTAAGATGGTGACATTGATAGGACTATAGTAGATTAGTGACGAACAACTTTCTGGGCCCATGACCTGGATGTGTGTGTGGTTGATATGCGGGTTGGATCCCCCTATGTTTGTTGTAAGTTATGCTGTTTGCTACCTAAAAAAAAGAACTCAAAACATCTATCACTATATCTGTGTATTCCTGGGTTTTTTTTTTGTTTTTTTTTTTCCTGAGCTACCTTGTAATACAAATAATTGTTAAATCTAATGTTTCAGTAGTAATACAGTTCTGAGGTCTCCCTTTGAAACCATCTATGAGGATAGTGATACAGTTCAGCAGGTCAAAGACTAGCATTAGCAGTAATGATATTTTGAATTCTTTCTTGCTGTGGTATCCTGCTGCCTGTTGTTTGAGATGCATATGTGGGGAAAAATTTACTGATACAGTTCAGTAAGTCCTGCAGTCTCCAACTTTCATTATTGTTTTGATGTCTTTTTATATTAATATCAATAACATGTATGTTGGGTGAGAATAAATAAGAAAAGTGAGAAGCCAAGAGGCACTATTTCCTTGGTTTTAAGTTCTTTTCCAAGTACTGTACTATTGTCATTGTTTGAAAATAGCCATTTTAAGGCTATTGTTTGTTAGTGTTTCTAACACTCTTCCCAATCTATTCTGATTGTGCTGCTCCAGACTTGTCATCCTTTTATTCTTCTGCTTGTTCCTAAACTCTCTGATAGGACTTGGAATGGTGGTAAAATAACATGTTTCTATCGAACAAATCCTAAAGTGCTTTATTGGGAAGCAGTATCTGCCAAAGGAGGCACCAGAGAGTGCATGATGCCATGTGCTTGTGTTTTATGTATTTGCATAGAGACCACCTCCAATATCTCATATGTTTTAAATTCTCCTGCAGTCATGTTCAGTCTGTCACTGAGGGAACCTTTTCTTGTGAACACATCTTTATAGGTTAATGGCATCCTACTGATATCTGGTTTAAGTTCCCTTTCATATCTTTTTTTTCTGAATCTGAAATACAAATTCTTGATGAGGCCAAGTTTCCCCTTTATGAAAGGCAAAGAGTATTTTCTCTCCTTAACTTTTTCTAATGCAAACTTATCTGTTGTGGTTTTTTTGTGGGAGGGAAAGATATCTATGTTGACTCTCACTTACCCAAGAATAGAATATATTCTTCACTAGCAGATTTCAATTTTGCCTCTAACCTTTTGTAGTTCAGTGATTATCAACCAGGGAGTTGTGAGATCTTTTAAAGAGTATTGTGGGGTGCCGTGCAATATTAGCACTGCTAGCTGTGCAGACACCTCTACATGTTACTTGTAAGAAACCCAGAGATTTCAGATGCGAATCCCAAATACCAAAAACACTCTAAATCTTTTCACGGTGTTTCTGAGCTCTTTGCTTGTTTTGTTTTGTTTTTTGTTGTTGGTTTTTTTTTTTTTTATTTTAATTTTTTCTCATAGCCAAAAACAAAACAAACAAACAAACAAACAAACAAAAAAAGCCAAGTGAATGCTAAGAGTTAGTATTTTTTTTGAGGCCTTCATTTAATGAGGTTGAAAACTGCTGTTCTAGCTGAGGCTCAAGGCACAAAAAAAAATAATTGAGCAATTTTTCTCTTGCAAAGAACTTGGGACCACCACAGCAGGTCCGTGTTTGTAACACTATGGATTCTTGTTTGAAATCTGTGGATTTCCCTTATGAATTGTGTTTGCACATATAACAGTGCTAATTTTGTGTAGTAGCCAATGGCACCCTTGGAAGGATCTCAAGACACCCCAGTGGTATCTTTGCTGAAAATAACTGTTCTGGTTCACAAACTGAGGGAGAGTCTCAAAGAAAACAGATGACTGCTCCTATTTCTGGTTTCTAAGGCACTTGTACAAACGTTCTTTGGTTGTTCTTTTAGATTCTTGCTGCAGTTTCTCTTTGTGTTCCTTGACTTCTTCTCTTTTCCTTTACTTGAGGATTTTCATTCTACCTTTGACCCATAAAATTTCCTGCTTCTTGTTTTCTTATTTGTAGTAAGCAAGCTGCTTGGGCTGTATTATGGCTTGCACACCCTTTCTTCTCAACAGTAGATACTTTCTATACTTGTGCCAACTGCCACATTGCTGATATTACATGTTGGCATCAGTGGCATTCTTTTCCCTTGCCCTGTATTCTCCAAAGATTTCCTTACTTATTTATTCCAGACTTTAAGTCATGGCCTGTGTCTTAGACCACTATTATTTCGCACCTCTTTTTTCACTTTGCTTATTGGCATATATATATGAATATTGCTTGTTCAAGCACTGAGTCCAAGCTTATGAGCAACCTCTTTTTTGAATTGTTGTACCCCAAGATTGCTTGGCTTTTTAATAAGAGGAAGTGTTCAGTCTTTCATATTTGTAATACTGGCTTTTTTTTTTTTAATGTTAAATCTCTAGCAAAATCTTCCTAACTCCATGCCCCTCTTCCTCTCCCTTGCTTTCGAGTCCTTTTGTAGGAAGTTGTCATCGCATAACATTCTCCATAACGTCCCACTGATCTACCATACTTTAAAGTTGTCTTCTCCATATGGAATACTTTGTGTACAATGGCAACTATTTTTAACTCCTTCCACTTTTAGTAGTCCCTATAGTTGCCCTGTACAGTTAAATTGCTGTGCAGACACCTTGTAGAAAAATTTGTCCATAATTTTGGGACTGGTGAAGGATTTGCACACTAATTACAAGGCTTCACTACTACCTGTGTGGTGTGCATGGTTTGTTTTATTTTAATATCAGTATTTTTACCAAATGCTTGTGGGCTGGTTGCTCTCTTCCTGGATTTTCTAGAATTTTGAGAACTAAGGGATCTGGGAGACAGCAGACAGTCTAAGATCAGATTATGAGGTGGGGAGGAGGCTGGGGTGACTGCTCCAGGAACCAAGTGTAGCAGCAGGACTGGTATGGAAAGTCTGGTGGGAGTGGGGACTTAAAATGAGATGACCTGTGGGATAGGGCTGGGAAGAGATTAAGTTAGGTCTGTGTAAGGAGACCAAGCATATGTTGTTGTGTATAAGCACAAAGTCTTTAATTACAGGCTGTGTGCGCAACTTGACCCCCAATGTATCTGGTGTTTACTTGCTTTTGAGTGTTTGACTTTGGACCTTTACTGATGTTTATTTAGCGTTTTTTTTTTTTATGTGTAATTTACACTGAGAGATTATAGGGTCTGTTCAGGGTTTTCCTACCCAATTAAATGCTGCCACCTCCCACACTGTCAAATTTCCAGACCTGAGGGCTATCTCTACTAGCTGGAGGTTGAGCACCACTGTTCTGGATTGTCCAGTTTCTAAATTCTATGGTTTGTATTTACTCTGGATTTTTAATGGCAAAGAATGTAGTTACTGCACACAGGGTGGCTTTAAGAAGGGTGTGATTTCCTAAGTCATTTATAAACTGCAGTCTGCATCTTCAGTACACGTTAACTTCACTGGGAAGTTTGGATGATTTTATTGAATGATTTGGAGAAGTGGGTGCAAGCCTATTGTTCTCCTTCCTTGGATTTAGATCCTGGCAGGGCAAAGAAGTGGATCACAAAAATTGAAGCCTAGCAGCAGTGAGCAACTGTTGTTGGGAAGGTCCCAGTTTGTGAGGGAGGAGTCTTCATTTCTCTCCCTTCCTTCACTCCCCTGGTGTACTTATTTTTTAACATATACACTTTAGACACCTGCACTCATTAAAGCACTCTGTCTATCTCTCTCTAATCTCTCTTCTTCTTACTATGTGTGGTTATTGTTTTTAAGACAAAAATACATTAATTTCTTTTTCTTTTTCCAATAGCAAGCTAAAGAAGCTAAGTGAAGATAGTTTAACTAAGCAGCCTGAAGAAGTCTTTGATGTCTTGGAGAAGCTTGGTGAAGGGTAAGTGCAGCTGTGAACCTCTGCAGAGGCAGGGAGAAAGCAGCGTGAGCGCATTCAAAAGTAATGTCAAGTAGTCCATGATAGTGTGTCATCTAATAAAGTGGAGTACACTATATTACTGTATTGGTTTTCTTAAGCAACTTTTAAAAATAAAACAAGAAATGCTTGTGTGAATTCTGCCCCCCCCCCCCCC